CCACTGACTTTGTCAAAAACCAGCTGGGAAGGTAGCAAATGGTGATCCAGTGATTGCAGGATGCTGCAATGGACGTAAATGTGAGCTGGTTGCCAAGTGCCCAGATTGGAGTTACATGACTACAAGGACACTGCAATGGTCATTGGTGTGAGGACCAGTTGAAAGTCATTTTTTTCAATGCTAGCATAAACTTCAAATAGCCACTAAACGAATTGTCACAAGTCGAGGACCACCTGTATTGTTATTTGTATACTGGCCATCAATATGATTGTTTTAAAAAGCCAATTAAAAACCTGGGTTGTAATGATCTTAGACTGATCCAATGTAGTTAGTGGTACTGGACAGATCTTTCTTATTATGACACCCTGACTTAGTCGGTTGAATCAATTAAGAGAAATACTGGCATATTTATACAGAGCCCTTCATTCCCTTTCAAATTTAAATAAAATTTAAATATTTAAATATTCATTGTGCGAGATATCTTGATAATGCAGGATAGCAGTTAACTTCAATAGGGCTGCCCATTCATTGCTTTCATTCTTTGGTACCCTGCTTATTTTGGTGCTTTCTTGCAATGCTTTCTGCATGAGTGAAAAAGAGGGCTGTGAAAATATTTACAGATCCCTCACATCCTGGACATAAACTGTTTCAATTTATATTCTCAAAATGATACTATAGAGCAGGGGTCCCCAACCACCGGGCCCCGGACTGGTACCGGTCCGTGGATCATTTTGTACCGGGCCGCAAAGAATGAAAGTAGGGCCTACTTTGCTTGGGCGCCGCCATCTTGTTTTGACGGCGCTTGAGAAAGTGCTTCCAGGTGAGCTTGTCGGTCGTCGGTTGGAAAGCGGCGTTTGGGTGCTGAAGGAATCCTCGCGCCTTAGTTTCGTCGAAGGGTGGGGGTGGCTTCGAACGAAGAGCCGTCCCGATGGCAGTGGAGTCTCGCGTTACTCAGGAGGAGATTAAGAAAGAGCCTGAAAAGCCCATCGACCGCGAGAAGGTACAAAGGAGGAGTTGAAGGTGGCGGGGAGAAGTGGGGGACGGCTGGCTGGCTGGCCGCTCGGCTCGCCTTGGTCGTGCGTGCTGATGCTGGTACCGGTCCGTGGATCATTTTGTACCAGGCCGCAAAGAATGAATAATCGTGAAACTGGTCCCTGGTACAAAAAAGGTTGGGGACCACTGCTATAGAGCACTGCACATCAGAACAATTAGACAAAGAACAGTTTTTTCTGAATGCCATCACTCTGCTAAATAAATAATTCCCTCAACACTGTCCAACTATTTACAAAGTCTGCATTACTATTACTATTAATCTTCTCATCACTCCTATCACTCATCCCCTCCCACTTGTATCCTTACGATTTATATTGACTGTCTCCTTGTATGATTTGATAGCTTATTTGTACCCTTATGATTCTTGATGAATGTATCTTTTTTTTTAATGTACACTGAGAGCATATGCACCAAGACAAATTCCTTGTGTGTCTAATCACACTTGGCCAATAAAGGATTCATTCATTCATCCATTCATTCAAGCTTTCCATTGGAATTATGAAAGTTAAAAAGCTCTTGCCGTCAAACTCATTTTTAAAAAAGGCATTTTTATTTATAACTCTCAGATACAAACTCTAACTTTCTGCTATTATGGAACCCAAGGTAGTAGATCTAGCATTCTTAGGCAAGGGGCTACCAGGGACTTCTGAGATTCAGATCTGTTTTAGAACCTGGATGGCTGCTGCATCAAATGCTTGAGATTGTGTCTTGGGACAGAAAAATTCAATGAGGCATATGTTAAGATGTTACTACTGTTTCTGTCTTCTGCTCCCCCTACATTATTCTCTACATAATTATTCAAATGTGATTCCCAAGAGGTTCAGTAGCAGACACAAGATTGTATCTTAGGTGTCCCCTTCCCCCAATTATCCTGCACTGGGTTTTTTTCCCTGTCAAAGGTTCAAAGAGTTTTTATGCCAAAGATGGTTCCCCCCCCCCCCCAACTTATATTAAGATCTTCTGAATTGGAAGAAGAAAGTGCCTACTGAGATACCTGTGGGTAACTCAGGAGCAACCCCTAGGGGTTATATTCTACCACAACAGCATGTGATAAAAAATAATGCTTTGGGAACACACTGCAGTCATTTTCAGAGATTTTGCTGCAGCCGTAAGAAAATTATATTAAGAAAGGATAGATGAGATCCTTCCAATTCTAATAAATGCCCTAAGTAATGTTTTATTTCACTAGCAAGGAAGCTAGTTTTTTTGCATAAACTGCTCCATTTCTTAAATGTATCACTGTGAGAAACTGGAATGGGAAAATGTGCTGCAGTCATGGAAAGGATATAATATAGAACCTCACCAAAACAGGAATTAAAGGGTAAAAAATAAAGAGAAGCTCTGGATATTCTGGAAAGCACTTCCACTTTTCACTTATATCTGAAAAGGAACTTATAATAAAGGAGGAAAGATCTAAAAGTTCTGTCAAAGGGAGAAGTTTCCATAGCTGTTTTTTTTTTTTTTTTTTACAAAGCATGCAATTTATTTATCCAGGTGTCAGATATGATTCTAAAATTTGCAATGTCTAAATAAAGAAATCCAGCTTATTAAAGATGTTTTGTATTTGTCATCTTACAGCACACCATGGAAGCTGTGCAAACTGAGGTGAACCCAATCACAACACACCAAGTAATTCTTTTCTTTGAAATTTCAATTTCAACTGCTACCCTGAAGAGTACATGAGCTTTTTTCTCAGGCACAAGACTATCATTTGGCTCAAAATAAGAATTTTCTACATTTCTTTTTCTTAATGTGAAAATCTAGAGGAAATTGTCATCAAGCATCATCTTTACAAAAAAAAATTGGACTTTACAATCTAAATATTTTTTATGAAATAGTATCTCATTTATAGAGAAATTAGAATTATGAGCTAGTTTACCAGAATTCTGATAGTATAAGTTGTCCATCTCTGCGTGGATCCGCCTACCAGGGGGTGGAGATAAACCAGGAAACCATATTAGTAGTTAGTTTACTATTAAAATCCCTGGTTTGAAACTCTTTCAACAAGTAAGACACTTAAGACAACAATAAATCACTTAAAATTTTAGCTTGTTAAGAGATCAATATCTAGAAATTCTGATTGAGACAAAACACTAATTAAAACATGGTCATTTCCTGTTATTTAGTGATTCCTATTAGCATGGTGAACTAATCATTTGCAGTTGGGTATAAATGTACCAACATACTTATTTGATCCCAATATGCAAAATTCTGTCCAAGGGAATATATGATAAGAAATATCTCCAGGGAAACAATGATTGTGGGCTGCTGATAAAATAAACATTACTACATTAAAAAAACAAAGTCAGTAACTTTGAGAAATTTATTTTCAAAGATGCACAAAACGCACAACAACAAAATAGCTAACCATAGATTAGTGTCTAGTGGACAAGAAATCTGAACAGACTGCAGCAGCCAGCAGATTTATAAATTGTATGTTTCTTTCTAGACAATAAAACAATGCTGTCATTAAAATAGATGTAAGCAATAATGGCACAAGCCTTACATAGCTTGCCAAAAGTTACTTATTTTGAGAAGAATATGATACACAAAATCATCCCTAAAATAAGATATTTAAAATGAAACTTTACTGGGTGTATCTCAGGAGACAAAACTGTTCTACCTAGCTTTCTTTCCAATCTTTAATGTGAGAACCATGTCCCAACACCATGCAACCCTCGAGTAAAAAACACTCTAGGTCAAGGAATATAATCCATAAAGAAGGAAGCCCTAAAACCTAATGCTTTTCACCAATGGTCCTTGATAAAATAGTGGCTAGTCATCTTAGCATTTGTGTACAATTATACACAAAGCCTAGACAACTGAAGAAGTCCTATTTTAATTAGTATAAGATAACAGCACTCATCTTACTAACATAGTGGCAAAGAGACCATCCATTTCCATTTTGGAAAAAGTAACTGCTTTTTCATATTCTGTTACACACAAATACTATCTTTAAACAGCATTTTTATTGCTCTAATGCTTCATACATGGAAATCAGAATTAAACATTAAACAGTTTTTAAATATTAAAATGAAAACCAATGAAAGCTAAGTATTTAAATGATGACTATATGGATGAATGTGAAGTTGGATTTCTTTACTCATGGACCTGGCTTTCTTTGATAAATATTATACCATTATTAATTCACTTCTATCTGCTAAATAATTTGGGGCTGGGAATGGTAAATTTATATATTAAGCCCAACTTTTCTTCATAATTAAGCTAGCTTCTTTAAATAGCAGAATATGATGATCATTCAGAAAAAAAACACAAAATTTAATGGTTTAAGGAACTCAATAGGATCCTCCCCATTCTTATATACCTCATGCTAACTTCCCAAATTCTGTCATTATAGGAATATTTAAGGGCATAAAATAGCTCTGGTACATTAAAACCAGTACAGGAGTCGAGGCCTCTGACTAGTCCAAGGAGAAAAAAGTCTAAGAGACTATAGACAGATGATTTCCTAGGTTCCCTGACCCTGAGGTTCCAAAGGAGAGAAAACCCAAGTGGGTGAGGAACCCTAGTGGAATTTTAAGAGAGGGCTGATTATACATGGAAGGTCTGGGATGAAAAACTTGATCCTTTTTCCCTCCTGCAGGAAGATGTTAGGCCCAGGGCCCGAGCCCTGGAAAACGGAACTCTTCTTTCGTCTCTTGCCTTGCAAAGCCTTCAAAGAGGGGAAAAAACATGAAGAGGAAACAGAATATGTTTCCCAACAGAGACAATATGATTTCTGACTTATTTGGAAGGACAATTATAGGAGAAAGAAGGTAAGAGCAGACAGACAGAAAAGCAGATTGTTTTCCTAAACTGGTGCAATACAATCTCTTTTGTTCTCTAAACATTTCCTTCTCTCTTCACTGCCCGGCCTTCCCATCCCACAAAAATACCCTTCCCTCCCCCCTCCACACTCTCCCCTTAACTGCGTGCTTGGGTCTCACCTGTAAGTCTCCGCAGCTGCCTAGATATTCTTCCCCTTGCGGCTCCAGCTCCAAGATATTGGGGGTGGGGAGAGTACCCCCAACTACCTCCTCTTCCCTATTCCCTCCAATCAAGGAAGAGGGTTTAGAGGGAACTGTCAGTGGTTCCCCTGGAAAAGGAAGGCCTCTGGATGGGAAGCACAGGGTATCTACAACAGCTGCCCTCTGAGCCTCTCCTTCCCTCCCTCTTGTTTGGGTAGGAAAAAATTGTTCTGCTGAAGTGAAGACATGCAAGTGGCTAGGTAACCGGGGATGCGATGGAGGTAGCCCTGTAAAAGGATGCAGCAAGAGTCTAGGGCCCTTCTGCAATGGTTCTAATTCAGGGGGAGGGAGAGGGAGGGGGAAAAAGCCCACCCCAAATTGGAAGGCGGAGGGGTGGGGGTGGAGGAAGAAGACAATCGGTATCAGCCCAGTAGCTCGCTTTGCAAGAGGGATGGGCTGCAAGGGAAAGGCGTCGTGGGCTTCATAGGATGCTGCTGCAGTCCCTTCCAGCTGTTGGCGGCTGCCTACAGATGTTTACAGATGAGGTATAAGGGACCTACAGATAACGGGCGAGGAGGAGAATTGCAAGACCCTGCAAAGGAGATTGATAGAGGTCTTTAAGGGAAACCTGCGGGGCGGGGGAAGGGGAACAAAAAGGAATGAGAGGTCAGGTGGGCGGGGGTGGAGTGGTCCCTATAAAAGGCAAAGAGATCCTTTCAGAGCCAGGGAATGGGGGGGGGGTGGAAGAATGGGAAAAGGGAGGAGGTCTCTACAGGGGAGGGTGCTGTGGGGGTGGGGGGCCTGACTCTATCCGGCCCCCCCTCCCCTCTCTTGCCTCTTCGGGTTCCTCCGTCTGCTCCCTCCCTCTCACTCACTCCAGTTGTCCCCAAATCCAAGATGGCGCCCAAGGCAGGAGCAAGACCGGAACCAAGGCAGAGAAAACGTCAGGCGCATGCGTAGAATGAAGGGGGGCGCCGAAGAAGAGCGCACAGACGCGATGCATCAGGGGCGGGAACCCGTGAAAACTCGCATGCGCCACAGTCGGAAATAAGCGGCGAACTTCGTGCAGAACCTGAACCAGCTTGGTGCGTAAAACGTTTTGGTGGGGCACTGTGCGCATGCGTCCCGCTCGGGTCATTCTTGAGGAAAAGGTGAGTAGCACGAACGGAGGGGCGAGGAGCGTGCTGTGAGCTATTGAAGGACGGCATTACTGAATGGAACGCAACGCACGCGCAGTAAAAGAGGGAAGGAACAAATCCCGACTCCATTGGATTGTCTTAGCGTTAATGGGCGGGGACACGTTTACACTGACAATATGTAAAACGAGGGGAGGGATCTTGAAATTTGCCCTTTTAGGATTGGACGAGGAACATCAGGAAGGTCAAGTGCAAGTAAGATCGACGTCTTGATGGTGGGGGAGGAAATAACGGCCCTTCAGTGAAAGAAGTCAGATTTGGGACGCCCGCGTACCCTCAGGTGTGCTTTGATTGGGACAATATGGAAGGGCGTGGGATTTGATTGGTAGACCGAGGTAGTTTAAGGGCGGAGCTTCCTTCGCTCAGCTTGTTACTGGGGCAAGATTTAGAAAGATGTTGGTTGGTGCGCGCGCGCGCTCAGAGAAGTGCCTGGGACGGCGGGGGGGGGGGGGGGGGGGCTCAATGACAGCTGTTCAAAGAGGGGAAATAAAGGGCGCGCTGGGCGACAGTTAAACCGTCACTCCAAGAGGGCTTGGGTGCATGCGCGCCCTGGAGCTCGAGCCTCCCCGGTCCGGGAGTCGCAATTTCTTCTAGTCTTCTCAGCGTGCTTATTCCCCTCACCTCATGTGCAGTTTTAATGCCTTTCGCACCGGCGTGATTCAGGCCCGTGCCGGTCGGGCCTCTTCCTTTCTTGTCAACACGAGGGAGGTGAAGTTAGGCCACTCACTCTTCTTGAGGCGTAACTATCAAAGCAGCTGGTAAAAAGGCGGTAGAGAACGCTAACAATCGTACATTGGGTTAGATGACGGAAGTCACCAGTTTTGAAAGAAGCGCGTCACCCGTCCTCCCCCCTCCTGCCCCCCATCACATGAATTGGCCTAGCTGGGTCCGCCGAGACCAGACTGCAGCGACCAACCTGGGATTGTTTATCCTGATGACGTATTTGACCCGGATTGGCTGGGCTACTGCGAGGGTTTCGCGTCCAGCCCGCCTTCCGTGTGGAAAAGGGAGTTCTTTGATTAGGTTGAACTTGGGGATGTCGATGGAATGCACGAGATTTTACACGTGGCCTCTGGAGGGAAAGAGGCGAAGGAACAAGGGAGTCCACAATGTCGGTCAAAAATGGCTGCAAGTTCTAACATGAAATGGAAAAAAAAAACAGTGGGGAGAGCAAATTATAGAGCTTTAGTTAAAATAATTACAACAGATTGCCTAAAATGATTAGAAAACTATGCTTGCTACAGCTTCAAGTACTAGGTAGAGTAATTGAGAAAGTCAGCAAGGGACAAATGAGCTTTCAAGAAGAGACTGGATTGCCGACTATCAAAAATGGTGTAGGGGCTCCTGCTTGTGTGAGGGGCTGGACTAGATGACCTAAAAAATCCCTTCCAACACTTATTTGGTTAAAACTGGAGTCTGGGAAACACTGCTGTGGAAAGTATGGCTGGGTATCATAAAATGGAAACACTGCAGCAGAATGAAAAATTAAGGTACAATGTTAATACTATAGGTTAATACTATAGGTTAGATAGGTGTATTTTTTACCTTTCGCAATTTTTGCTGTTACTCCACAGGGCATCAGTAAGCATATACAGTTGTAGCCAGAGTTGGCATATTAATTTGAGTACAGGTAGTCCTCAACTTACAACCACAATTGAAATTTGTTAAATGAGATTTTGCCCCATATTATAATTTTTCTTGCTACATTTGTTAAATGAATCACTGTATTGTTAATAACATGGTTGTTAAGTGAATCTGGCTTTCCCATTGACTTTGTCGGAAGTTTGTAAAAGGTGATCATAGACATTGCAATTGTTATAAATATGAACCAGTTATGCCAAACATCAATGTAAATAACATGACCTTGGAGATCCTGCAATGATGCAGTTGTAACTTCAAATGGTCACTAAATGAACTGTTGTAAAGGACTACCTGTAGTCGGAGTTTGTTTGTTTTTGCTGCAAGTTCTTAATTCTGCCAAACACATCACTGGATTATACACTGCTCAAAAAAAATAAAGGGAACATTTAAACAACACAATGTAACTCCAAGTCAATCACACTTCTGTGATATCAAACTGTCCACTTAGGTAGCAACACTGATTGACAATCAATTTCATATGCTGTTGTGCAAATGGAATAGACAACAGGTGGAAAGCATAGGCAGTTAGCAAGACATCCCCAATAAAGGAGTGGTTCTGCAGGTGGTGACCACAGACCACTTCTCAGTTCCTATGCTTTCTGGCTGGTGGTTTGGTCGCCTTTGAATGCTGGCGCTGCTTTCACTCAAGTGGTAGCATGAGATGGAGTCTACAACCCACACAAGTGGCTCAGGTAGTGCAGCTCATCCAGGATGGCACATCAATGCGAGCTGTGGCAAGAAGGTTTGCTGTGTCTGTCAGCATAGTGTCCAGAGCATGGAGGCGCTACCAGGAGACAGGCCAGTACATCAGGAGACGTGGAGGAGGCCGTAGGAGGGCAACAACCCAGCATCAGGACCGCTACCTCCGCCTTTGTGCAAGGAGGGACAGGAGGAACACTGCCAGAGTTAAACTACCATATAGTTACTGAAAACAAGCAAAGGAATTATGAGGATTTCTTGTTTGCACATTGCTTGATGCTATTTATATTTAATCATGAAATCCAATATTATATAATTATTCCTAATAGAAGTGTTAGTGACAATGATCATTAATTTAGGCTAACTACACTATTGAGTGTATATAGTGTATATAGTTCAAGTCCTGTAATATATAATAATTATATTAGCAATTTGCATTGGTGGAATATCCACTTAAAATACAAAGAAATTACAATTTTTGTATTTAATAAGTTTATCATATCTTTCGTGAACCAAAATAGCAGCACACCAACCAAAATAATGAATTTTACATAGTATAGCTGTTTACAGAAAGGAGGACACCTGAGTATTCTAGAATGTAGCATGAATAGCACTCGCTTGATCCATTTAGATTTGGCCCCATTTGTCTTTGGGGAGGCGATAATATAGGCCAGCTGCACAACATAGCGTGGCACAGAGGCAGAGAAGAAAAGCACTGGTCATGAGGAGACGCTGGCTGCAAAGGGTACGATCCGCCTGAGAGTAGAAGAAATGATAGTGAATCATCTTCCCTCAATATATTGTGGAGCAAACCAGTTTTAGCGTTCAGATATTGCCTATAACACCACTGCCCATATCTACCTACCTACCTGATCTAGCATGCTGGATAGGGCAGGGTTAGCTTGATAACGTGATTGATAGCAAATCCCTGGCATTTCCAAAGTCATGCTTTGTTTCCTTATTACACATTTTGGTGGCTTTCTGGGAACAAAATGGAATATTACATTAATGAATAAAGAAACATTGTAACAACGCCCCTTCCTGTTAGCTCACCTGGTCTTAGGGAGAAGGGATGAAGGTGCAATGATCCTAAGGCAATTCTCGCGGGATAATGAATTTGTAATAACAGCTAAGAGGTGAATTGATTTCTGGGCATCTGGACCTGTGGATGGAGTTAATGGAAGGAAATGTCAAGAGAAGGTGAACGATGAATCGGAATGCTTGAGAAAATACTGAAATAGATTTGGTGGTCACTCACCTCTGAAACCCAATTTTGTCCCACTGATGGTCAGACCTAAATGTGTATCATTGGGAAGATCTGTGCCATTGGGAAGATCAAAGGTCAAGCCAACCATGATAGATACAGTTGTAGGAGGTTCAGCAGTTGAAGGAAGTGATATGACATTTCCCTGAGTTTTATTTGTGATACAGAACATTAAATGTGCAAGAGATTTCAGCAGAGAGTCCCAATCCTTAGAAATAAGGGAAAAAGGAATGAGCATTGCTTCTATTCTCATTTTTTTTTGCTTTTTTCCTTAAAATATCTATCAAACTCCATATGACCTCACTTTTAAAATCCTTTGTTAATTATTCAGAATAGAGGTCACAATACAATGAGGGATGTCTGGATTTATGAATTGTAGATAGCAATAGCTAAACTTGAATTTAAAATTTTGCATTTTTGATTTTTTTTTACTGCAAATGGTAGAACAAAATATCTGAATTTTAAAGCTCCCTTTTGGAGAAAAAAATATATTTTAATTTTTTAAATTGTAATTTATCTATAAACTGGAAGACAATGATAGAGAAATAGAACTGTAGCCAATCAGTCTGAAAGTACAACTTTCAACTATCCCTTCACTAGAGAGAATCAACTTGTACTTAGAAAACAGCAAAGGAAAATAGTGTTTCCATTACTGTTTTTCCTTTATTATTCCTAAGTTTTTTTCTGCTGTCTTCTCTTAATAATTGAAATCCAATTTTATCCCATGTTCTGGCCTAAGTTTTTACTTAAATTTCTAATCTCTAGCTCACCTCTTTGACATCAGGATTATGAATATCGTGTGACTGGATGTAGACAGCAAAACCAACAAAGGCAAGAGCCAGTGAAAGGAGGCAGAAGAAGAAGGAGACCAGAGGTGGATGTCGTTCCAGGCAGATACGCAGGGAGGCCAGTAGGGAGCAGATGACCATGGTAAGCCCTAGAGGTGAGGGTAAGAAGGATGTAGTATCATCCTAGCTCTAGAAAATCTAAAACATTTCCAGGAGAAACTACTAGAACAGCCAGAAAAAATGGAAAAGAGATTGATAACATGTATCTTTTGTTTTTGTATGGTACTGTATTTCAGATTTTCTAATTTCAAAAGTCAAAATGTGAATGTAAATAAATATTACTTTAATTTCATTATTGCTTAGATAATTTGAACTGATGAAAATCTTTCATGGGACTATACACTCAAAAAGTACAAAGGAAGGCTGCTTGTTTAAGATTACACTTCAGTTGTGATAGTCATGAAATGGAAAACTGATTTTTTAATCTGTGCATTCAGATATGGGAATATTTAAAGAAAGATTCTTAATCTGCATTCTGCAGTTACATCATCAAAGAAAAAGGTTGTATATTTCTGCCCACTGAGTTTCAAAATGTCTATTCTCTTTATTTGAAGATATGTCTACTGAAGTTAAAAATAGCTAGTTTCTTCACCATGCCAACTGGATGAATCTGCCTATGAATCTGTAGGAGAATTTGTAATTTAACTTAACATAATTTTGTGATACTTTCATATTCAAGTCAGCATCTGATTATCTTATATTGTATTTGAAGTTAGCAAACTATAATAATATGAAATTCAAAAAAACAACAACAGCTGGAATTATGGAGGTAAAGAACTGGATATTCTAGCTGATATTATAATTTACTCAAAATCACATCCTGTCTGAGAACATGAAGATTCAAAACTTCATACCTGAAAATTCACTACAAAAAGATATTCTATCAAACTGGTAGTAGCACAAGTATAGGAAATTAAACAATCTTCTCAGCCATCTATCATATAATTAACAAACAGACAGTAAAATAGAATACTTAAGATTTTTTTCTACCTAGAAAGCAGAATACTTAAGATTTTGTTGTCCCAATTTGGAGAAACGGTTGACAGATTTTGCTGAAATGGATAAATTAACGATTAGAGAAAAGACATTACATTGATTGCTGACTAGAAGCTCTTATGGACCTTTTGCACAAAATGAACTTGTGACATACTTTTGATGATTAGACAGGATAGATTATAGAAGAAAGAGTAATACATAATTTTAGAACAAGGGGAAGAATATTAAAAGCTTTATTTTTTCTTTTTTTCTTTTAATGGTTTTATTAAAATTATTTTAATATACACTGCTCAAAAAAATAAAGGGAACACTTAAACAACACTATGTAACTCCAAGTCAATCACACTTCTGTGAAATTAAACTGTCCACTTATGTAGCAACACTGATTGACAATCAATTTCATATGCTGTTGTGCAAATGGAATAGACAATAGGTGGAAAGCAGAGGCAGTTAGCAAGACATCCCAAAATAAGGAGTGGTTCTGCAGGTGGTGACCACAGACCACTTCTCAGTTCCTATGCTTTCTGGCTGATGGTTTGGTCACTTTTGAATGCTGGCAGTGCTTTCACTCTAGTGGTAGCATGAGACGGAGTCTACAACCCACACAAGTGGCTCAGGTAGTGCAGCTCATCCAGGATGGCACATCAATGCGAGTTGTGGAAAGAAGGTTTGCTGTGTCTGTCAGCGTAGTGTCCAGAGCATGGAGGCGCTACCAGGAGACAGGCCAGTACATCAGGAGACGTGGAGGAGGCCGTAGGAGGGCAACAACCCAGGATCAGGACCGCTACCTCTGCCTTTGTGCAATGAGGGAGAGGAGGAACCCTGCAAAATGACCTCCAGCGGGCCACAAATGTGCATGTGGCTGCTCAAACGGTCAGAAACAGACTCCATGAGGGTGGTATGAGGGCCCGATGTCCACAGGTGGGGATTGTGCTTACAGCCCAACACCATGCAGGACTTTTGGCATTTGCCAGAGAACACCAAGATTGTCAAATTTGCCACTGGCACCCTGTGCTCTTCACAGATGAAAGCAGGTTCACACTGAGCACATGTGACAGACGTGACATGGTCTGGAGACGCTATGGAGAACGTTTTGCTGCCTGCAACATCCTCCAGCATGACCGGTTTGGCAGTGGGTCAGTAATGGTGTGGGGTGGCATTTCTTTAGGGGTCCGCACAGCCCTCCATATGCTCGCCAGAGGTAGCCTGACTGCCATTAGGTACAGAGATGAGATCCTCAGACCCCTTGTGAGACCATATGCTGGTGCGGTTGGCCCTGGGTTCCTCCTAATGCACGACAATGCTAAACCTCATGTGCCTGGAGTGTGTCAGCAGTTCCTGCAAGACGAAGGCATTGATGCTATGGACTGGCCCACCCGTTCCCCAGACCTGAATCCAATTGAGCACATCTGGGACATCATGTCTCGCTCCATCCACCAACACCACATTGCACCACAGACTGTCCAGGAGTTGGGGGATGCTTTAGTCCAGATGTGGGAGGAGATCCCTCAGGAGACCATCCGCCACCTCATCAGGAGCATGCCCAGGCGTTGTAGGGAGGTCACACAGGCACGTGGAGGCCACACACACTACTGAGCCTCATTTTGACTTGTTTTAAGGACATTACATCAAAGTTGGATCAGCCTGTAGTGTTTTTTTCCACTTTAATTTTGAATGTAACTCCAAATCCAGACCTCCATGGGTAGCTAAATTTGATTTCCACTGATAATTTTTGTGTGATTTGGTTGTCAGCACATTCAACTATGTAATGAACAAAGTATTTCATAATATTTCATTCATTCAGATCTAGGATGTCTTATTTTTGTGTTCCCTTTATTTTTTTGAGCAGTGTACATATGAGAGACTTTTTGTCCCAAGGAGAAAACTCCTTTCAGTCTTTAGCTCTGCCTATTACTGGTAGAAGCAGCAGTGTTCTCTCTCTTGGTTTCATCTTATGGGCTGCCAACAAGCAAGTAAAATGATCAGTGCATAGAAAACAGGCTATAATGGAGAGACTATTTGATAGCCCAGAATTGGAGATCATCAGCCTCCTCAAATAGAAATGGGAATAATAGCTTCCAGAAGATTGGATCAGAGAAAAGGAGGCAAGTGGCAGGGCTTGCACTGAGCCTTTTATAATGCAGCCAAAGCTTTTCTTGGTGCCCCTCTGGCAGCCTCTCTGTCCTGATGGACTTGGCTCCAAGTTATGTCAGCTGCAATTGCCTTCCAGTGGCCTGAACAAACACCAGGTGACACCAATAGCAGTGCCTCTACAGAAGCCAGACCAGGACTAGACAATACTAACAGCAATTTTCCAAAGACCAGTACTGTTACAGAAGCTAAAAAAGTCTTGGAGATTCCTCTTCTCTCTATTAAAATGTTAATAAAACTGGGAGCACTACTTTAGACTGTGGTGAAATTCTTTGAGCATGGAAATAAAAATGGATACTTTCAAAATATAGCAGAACAAAAACAAAGGAACATTGTATAGTATAAAATATGCAATTTGCATCCCCTTCATTAAACCAAGTCTCAGAAAAAAAATGATGGCAATAGGAAGGCTCCACTACGAAATACTCAATAAATAAGAATCAAGTAATACACATCTACTTTCTTAGATGCTGTAACTTAATTTCCTTTTCTTTATAATAAAGCTGTATACTTTAATTTTGTGAGAATCTCATTTTGTTGTTGTTTATGTACTGCTGTAAGGGGCTTAAGCTGTATATATTGAGGGATGGAGCTATGAGCTAGCCTAGGCAGGCTTGGAATCCTGAGAAAAAATAAGCTCCTGCTGGCTCTCATCCACCCATATAGAACATGGAAGCTCAAGCCCTGCTGAACCTTAATTGGAAGTCCCCAGAGCTAAAATATAGGAAATAAAGGATCAGCTCAGGGGAAAAGAGGAAGAAACTCATCTAGGAAATCCTACTCTCCGACTTTTGCTTACTCAAAATTGTTTTGTGCCTGTGTAAAAAATGAAGAAACAAATAACAGTCATGGACAAAAGAGATGCAGAAGGAAAATGAACACAGGTTATATGTCAGAGACAGACAAACTGAAACGTGAGAGCACTTTACCTTTGGGCTTTTCAGTGTTCAGCAATATTACTTTCTTTTTTACTATGTTTATTGCACATAAAATAAATAGTATTAGCAATCATTATCTCCTGCAAAGAAGTATGTGAGATGTCTGGGGTTTGTTCTTCATTAACTTGAGTCAGGTGAACAGATGATGATTTGATGTAATCCATTTTCACATTAGAGGTTGAGTAATACTAACTTATTTTCAAGGAAACTTAAACAGGTCAGCTAAGATGTTCAGTCTGGAGGTAGACTCAGCAGCCCTACTATCAGTGGCTCTAAGGCAGAGGTGTCAAACTGGATTTCTTTGAGGGCCGGATCAGCATTGAGGTTCTCCGTGAGTCGACGTGGGGCGTGGGGGAGAGAGAGATGGGCCAGACGCCTCCTGCAGCACCTTGCCAGCCAAAGCAGGGCAACTCATGCTCCGTTTTGGCTGCCAGAGGCACCACAGGCTGGTCCTTTGCTATTTCCAGGCTGACCCAAAGGGCCGAATTTGGCCCATGGGCCTTGAATTTGACACACCTACTCTAAGGGATCACAAGATCCTGATAAGGTTAAAGTGAGGTCCCCACTCAGATTTTAGAATGCCATTTCTTATGAACAGCCAAGCCTGTTCCACCTTCCACACTGCAAGGAGGTTGTACCTCCCTGGTATATTTTGGAGTAGATAATTACATTTTGTATTAATGAGCCAGTAGTGCTGATCCAACAGATTGTAGAACAGACAATATTGCAATGAGTATAGAAAATAGCTATACTGGAAATTGAGGCTGTCTGTTCCATCATCACCTGATTTTGATGATATGGGCACATTGACTTCCTCCCAATGAGTGCTAAGAGGAGTCATAATCTCTAGGATAAGGCATGAACAAATTACCCAAGACAGCAAAACTTATAAAAGGAGTTTGCAGCCTGATCCATGATTTATGGAATGCTGGCACAGAAGTACTTGTTCAAAAACTGAGAAATGGACTATCCATTAAAAGCCTAACTTGCAGTTAAAGGATTTGGGGGAAGCATGCTGACTCAATCTTTGTAGAAAATAAGGATAAAATGAAACTCCTGTGTTACTTCCAAAGAAGTGGGTAAGAAGGTACAGAAGAAAATAATATCCATTTGGCCTATAGACCACTACAGGTAATTCTCGACTTATGACTACAATTGAGCCCAAAATTTCTGATGTTTAGAATAGAATAGAATAGAATAGAATAGAATAGAATAGAACAGAATAGAATAGAACAGAATACTTTTATTGGCCAAGTGTGATTGGACACACAAGGAATTTGTCTTTGTGCAAATGCTCTCAGTATACATAAAAGAAAAGATACCTTCATCAAGAGTCAAGAATCATAAGATTCAACACAATAATAGTCATAAGGTACAATAAGCAATCAAATCATATTAGGAAACAGTCAATATAAACCGTAAGGATACAAGCGACAAAGTTACAGTCATGCAGTCACAAGTGGGAGGGGATGGGTGATAAGGAATGATGACAAGATTTAACAGTTATAGTAGTGCAGACTTTGTAATAGTTGAACAGGATTGAGAGAATTATTTGTTTAGCAGAGTGATGGCTTTCGGGAAAAAACTGTTCTTGTGCCTAGTTCTGGTGTGCAATGCTCTATAGCGTTTTGAGGGAAGGAGTTGAAAGTTTATGTCCAGGATGTGAGGGGTTTGTAAATATGTTCACAGCCCTCTTTTTGACTCGTGCAGTATACAGGTCCTTGATTGAAGGCAGGTTGGTAGTAATTGTTTTTTCTGCAATCCTAATTACTCTGAAGTCTGTGTCTGTCCTGTTGGGTTGCAGAACCAAACCAGACAGTTATACAGGTGCAGATGACAGACTCAATGATTCCTCTAGAACTGGATCAGCAGCTCCTTGGGCAGTTTCCAGATACTTCTGAGGATCATCAATCCATTTTTTATATTGCTTGCTATAAACACACTGAGACATGTCTTGGGAATCCAGTTATAGTTCTGGCTATGGTCTTGCCAACAGGAATACATGTGGTCCTTGACTTACAACAGTTCATTTAATGACCATTACAATGGCACAGAAAAAGTGACATGTCAATTTTTCACACTTATGACCATTGCTGAATCCCCAGAGTCATGTTATTAACATTTGGATGCTTGACAACTGACTCACATTTATGAGTTGCAGTGTCCTAGAATCATGTGATCCCCTTTTGTGACCTTCTGACATGCAAACTCAATTGGGAAGCCAGATTCACTTAACAATGGTGCTACTAATTTGACTACTAAAGTCATAAAATGAGGCAAATTTTCACTTAGTAACATAAATTCTAGACTCAGTTGTGATTGTAAGTCGAGGGCTACCTGTATATACTACGAGGTTTCAAACTATACTGTTGTCATGCCCCTGTTGGAGTCTGATTCGGAGGGAGAGGTGGAACAGCTGACAGGGAGTGGGAGTGTGGCTCCGGTGGTTGTGGAGGAAACTGGGGAAGGGCATAGGCCGGATGGGCATTCAGAGGAAGATCCAGGCCCATCCCCTCTTCATCCTAGGGCATGCAGGGAGGAGCAGATAAGGGAGAAACGTGAGTGGCATGGTGTATGGGGGCGGAAGCGGCCCTGATCCCCTTCATGGGCTGCAGCTGGGAGGACCGGTTAAAAGGACAAACTGCACATGGCAAAATTGCTGGAAGCAAAGCATGCATTCTTGTTTATCTGTGTTTTGGCTTCCTCCCAACTGTGTTGCTGCTTATCTGGTAGAAGTCTGCAATTAATCATCCTTGCCTGCCCTAGTAATTCCTTCAGTGTGGTGTGTTTTTTATTTCGAATTAACTTTACTTTGGGTGTAAACTGCGTTTACTCCCTCTGTAAAGTGTTTTCTTTAAGAGTTTGATATCCAGCCAGGATAATTGGACATTAGGGCCAAATTGGAGGCATTAAAGGGACTTTTTCTATTTTTGTGACTTTGTTATTTTTCTGTCACGCCCCGGGTCATCACAACTGTATGGAAGTTTAACAATTGCAATGATTTACTTAACAAATATGGCGGGAAAAGTCGTAAAATGGGGCAAAAATCACTTAACAAATTTCTCACTTAACAACATGGATTTTGGACTCAGTTGTGATCATAAGTTGAGAATTACCTGTAAATTGACCAGATAGAATACATCCAATATTCCCCTGAATTTTCAAATCAAGGAGGGCTTCTCCAGTTACATATATTATATTCAAGTTTCTGAAATATCTCAAAGGTGCTCAATTTGTGTGCACAATCAAGGGGTTGGTGATTACTTATTCCACTTCTAATTGTTAGGACATTCTGTAGAAAAAAGACTGCATTCTCAGGCCATATGCAACTCTGCTCCCTTTTCTTAATTCTTGCTTTAGTGATAGATGTAAGAAAGCACCCACTTATATGAATATGACTCTGGGAGATATAAAGCAATACTTATATCAAAGTTAACCTTGGAGAGGAGAGAGTTCAAATGCTATTAGGATTAGGAATAAGTTGTACCACTTGGGGCAGAGAAAATGTTCATATCACCAGAAACACATATGTGGATATAATTAAGTGAGTTTTGCCCCATTTTATGACCTTTCTTGCCGCAGTTGTTAAGTGAATTACTGGAGTTGATAAGTTAGTAACCTGGTTAAGTGAATCTGGCTTCCCATTGACTTTGCTTGTCAGAAGATCACAAAAGGGAATCACACGACTTTGGGACACAGCAATGATCATAAATATGAACCCACTGTAAAGCATCTGAATTTTGATCACATGAGTATGAGGATGCTACAGTGGTCGTAATTGAAAAATTGTAAGTCATATTTTTAGTGCCACTGTAACTTTGAATTGTCACTAAATGAACTGTAATAAGTCAAGGAGTATCTGTACAATTTTGTGAGGCAGGAAGCAGATTGGAAAATAAATATTAAGAGTTCTCAGGCCTGTCAACAGAGACAATTAGCAAGCAAAGCAGAGGTAAGAACCTAGGAAAATGCCCCTTAAATTAATAACACTGTCTTATTGGGAGGGGGGAGGGGAGTGTGACAGAAAAACCATTGCAAACTTGGAAACCACATGCATGAACAGATGGGTTTTTATAAACTACTGTATTCAGTTGGGTTATGTGCTAGAAAAAGAAAATATCCTATCATCCTTCATCTCCAGAAAGAGAGAGAAGCAGCTCAGAATGAAGAAAATAACCCTCTTACTGGACATTTGTTCCACAGAACATGTCCCTGCACACGAGAGTTTTTCCAGCATGTCTCTCATTTACAGTGACAAAAACCGAGAAAGCCATCTAGAATCTTGGGAACTGAACATGCCTCAATCTTTTAGAATCAAGACATTGGTTGAAATCAATGAGATGATTTTTTTTAGCCTCAATGGATCTGTCAGTTTTAAATTATTAAACATCTTAATATAGTTCTTCTTAATGGAGATTCTTTATATTTTTGAGTGAAGAACCAGTTCTGGTTTAAAATGTTCCCATTTGGACCTTTCAGTCCCAGAGTACAGTACTATATTTATGAAAACTCTTTGTGCAACACCTCAGAATTCATATTGTTTACATGTATTCATTTGGGTGATCTCATCAGATTTCCTTATATGGAAAGAACAGTGAATACTGTCACTTTGATGCTTATAGGAATTGAGTTTTATAATTAATTTCACCAGGAGCACACTCGTACCCTTGAAATATGTTCTGCTATAGGGAACTACCATCAACATGAGAGAAACTATTCCTCTCTCATGTACATCTGCTGATGAACGCCTTAATATCCAGGAGGCCAATCCCAATGTCACTGGCAAGATAAGAGCTTGGTTCGATCTCAGGTCATTCCACAGAGCAGCCTACCTCACAAGATGTCAAGTAAAGAAGGTCAATTGTTGCATTAATGGCTAATCGCAGCCAATCTGGCCAGTCAAACATGATGCAGGAATTATAATCCCATCAACTGTCACTGTTTATGAACAGCTAAAGTTGAGGATAATATTACTGGCTGTGAACACCCCTTTATATCTGGTTAGGTTGTGGCAAATATTGTTGCAAATAGATAATATAATTAACAGTGTTTGTTTAAACTATCTGGTGGAACCAGATCAAGGGATCTTTACACTAAGCCAAATAATTGATGACAATTGAACGTATGTTTATTCATATCAGCAGGGTACATAAAGGGCTCACCGAATACCACAATAAATAGCAAAATGTTTCAGGACAAATGTGTCCAGTTATAGACTTCAGAAGACTGAAAAAGGGTGGGAATTTCCCTTTGATCAACCTATCTGTAAGAGCAGGTAACCACCAACCCAGGTGATTCTTTTCAAGACCACAGAACGAAGTCAAATGATGCCCTGGTGGGACCATAGCTGGCTCTATATATTTCCTTTGATGCCACTGCTATCCAGACAGTAACAAAGATATTCAAGCTGTGGATGATTTTAATAATTCATTCTGCCTTTAGGACCCTATTGCTCTTTGCCTGATAAACCTGGTGAAGATCCCCCGTGGTATGTACTGAAATAGTCAACATAATTTCTTAAAGTCCAGTTTTTCACTGGAGTCAGATAAGATTACAAGAACTACTTGAACAATAATTTTTTAATTCTGATTCTCTTCAGTTACAACTTTGAGACTAGGAAACTGAATGAGAATATCTGTGCCTAGCAGCGAAAACCTTGGCCTTTTGGAGACCAAATATTTATCATATGATTTGGTGTGCTTTTGAATATGAGAAAAAAAGATTGTGGCACCAGCATCAAAGGATCTGCAACTTTTGGGATTCTTTTTGGTGTGCCTGGATAGAATTCTAGCAATGTAATAGATTTCTTCTAGGTAGATGAGGGACATCTTTATCTGATCATTCTCAGGTGTGCTTCTTCCTCAAAGTCACAGGCTCATCTCACCCCAGTCCATGTGACTTGGCACTGAATCTTCAAGCTGTAATGCCTGATCACTTTGAATCCCATTAGGCCAGTGGTCGACAACCTTTTTGGTTCTGCAGACTTTGGGCCCAGACCTCTGCATTAAGAAATTCCTTCTTAACATATTGTGCCTCTTTGATAGGACTAGCTTGGCTAGAAGGGTCATGAACAAAAGGTCTTTTTTATTTTAAACCTTTGTATATTTCATTATGACATAATGATGCTAAGATCATACCCTGCTTTGTGCCCAGGATCACACCAAATTCTACCAAGCACAAAATCATTCTACCACAATCTGGCCTCATGCTGTGCAGAACTTTGATGCTACATTCTATAACAGTTGAAACTTCCCAGTGTTGTTCAAGGGATGCTCCTTATAGAGCATGTTGTATTCAACTGGGAAGTGACAGAGAAGCAGATCTCTTATATAATAACGCAATAGATTATTCATACTCATTTTTTTTATTTTTATGTAAAAATTCAATTACATCAGTGTAACGATATTGTATCATATAATCAGGCCACTCACACATTGAAATTACTTGGTCTGTTCTAGAGAGGGTTCTTTTCAAAATAGGAACAATACGCAGCCCTGATCTGGCAAGCTCTCTTAGTAAGTCCAGCTTCTGACAGTGGCACCCTTGGCCTGGCTGAAGCACTCTGGGTATCAGCAGCTATAGGACTCTCTAATGGTTCTAGGAGCTCATCCCCTTTGATCTCACAAATATTGTGTAAGATGCAGCATGTAGCTATGACCACAGGAATGAGCTTCTCTCTTACATCCAGTCTCATTTGCAAACATCGCCAGCGAGCTCTCAAGACCCCAAAAGCTCTCTCCACACATGTTCGGCATTTGGCAAGTCTATCGTTGAACTTTTCTTGGGCCTCAGTTTTTGGTGCTGGATATGGTTTCATTAGCCAGGGGCGAAGTGGATAGGCATGATCTCCAATGACAACAGGAGTCATTGAAACCCCTTCTAGTGCTGTTGGAGTTTGTGGGCCAAATGTGCCTTCATCCATGCTGTTGAAAAAAGGAGAGTTATGCAAGATGCGCGAATCATGGGATCTCTCTGGAAACCCAACATAAATATCAGTGAAACGAGATTTACTATCTACTAGAGCCTGCAACACCATCGAATAGAACCCTTTGCAATTAATGTAGGAGTCGGCAGAGAAGGGAGGGCACAGGATGGAGATATGGATTGCATCAATTGCACCAAGGCAGTTGGGAAAACCCATATCCTTGAAGCCTTCCATAATATCTTGTGAATTGCCCAACAAAATTGTTTGGGCCAGGAGTCGACTATTTATTTCCTCGCAGACTTCTTCAAAGATTGAGCAGGCTGATGAAATTCCCACTCCAAAGAGCTCCGAGACAGTCTTGTAACTGTCATGATGTGCAAGTTTCCAAATGGTCATAGCCACCCTTTTCTCCACAGGAATGTGTGACCTCATGCCAGTGTCTCGACGCTGTAAGGCAGGACGCAACTCCTCAGCAATATACATCAGTGTGGAGCGGGACATTCTGAATAAAGAAATCCAACACTTGTCATCCTGTTCCGAAGAAATCATTCGCTCCCACCACTCACTACATCTGGGGAGCATCCAGTGTGATCGCTCAGACAGGGCCATCAGCTCGTGCTCATAATGCAGTGCTGGTGAAGATGAGTAAACCATAGTAACCACAGAGACTATAGCATTGCGATGAAGCCGTAGCAAGGCTCTCTTACGACGGACACTAGCTGAGAGGATGCGCCTCAGCACTGTAGCTGACTGGCGAAAGTGCCTCCGCTGAAGAATCCTTGCTATGGCAAATACCACAGTACGCCTGTTCAGCATCCATTGTTGCACTAGCAATTGAGAAGTTTGAACACAAGTAGCAAGAAGAGCCAAGCACTCTTGCTCCATTTATCTAGCCAGTTTTAACAGTAACAGCAGGTCCAGGAGGAGATGATGCTGTGACAGAAAACCTTTCCCCCCTGGTCAAGGCAGAGATGACATCACCAATCAGGGATCATTCATAAGCAGTCCAATGCACTTCATTTGGATAGGCACTGTTGAATTTAAGGGTAACACATTGTAATTGGCTCTAGTTCACTACGAGTCATATTTATAATCCAATTGTGAAGATCTCTTTAAAAAATACAAAGTAGAAAAAACAGTTTCACAAAATTCAACCATTACACATTCTCCATTTAAAAACATTTTAAACTTTCAGGGAGTCACATGTTTTTTCCATCAATATTTCTCTCTTTTTTTTACAAATATTTCAGCTGGCCAACTCTCAGTCAAACATTCTCCACACTGAGCCACGACTAAGCTAGCATGGCTGAATCCATGACGTCTAACAAACAACTGGAATAATATATCCTCTCTACCAGTTCTAGGCCTGCCAAGCCCAATAATAAAGGGAAGACACTTTATACAGGCGCAGACACTCATTATGTATATTATCGCTACATGACTTGACAGTGCATCCTATATGAACTGAGCAATATGAATACTATATTCTAGAATGGAAGGATAGAAATCATGGGGACAGATCAAGCAGTTTAAATCAAGAATACTGTACAGGTAGTCCTTGACTTACAACTACAATTAAGACTAGAATTTCCACTGTTAAGCAAAACACTTGTTAAGTGAATCATGCCTGATTTTATGATCTTTTTTTGCCAATGTTAAGCAAATTACTGATGTTAGATGAATCAGGTGGTTGTAAACGAATCTGGCTTTCCCCATTGACTTTGCTTGCTGGAAGCTGGCTGGGAAGGTTGCAAAAGGTGACCCCCAGATTCTACAACTGTTATAAACATGCCGAACACTAACCACCTGAATTTTGATAATGGGAATGTAGGGGTGCTGTAATGGTCAAGTGCAAATGGTTGTAAGTCACTTTTTTCAGTACTTTTGAATTGTCAGTAACAAATGGCTGTAAGTTGAGGACCACCTGTAAGTAATTTATCATTGTAAGACTACATGCAATATAATCTTCAAAGATCTAAAACCAGGGTGTCAAACTGGCAGCCTGTGGGCCGGATGTGTAACGTGCAGACCATACCCACCCCAGCCCCTTTGAAGGGAAAAAACACCATGATATGTCATGTGACGGTGTGATGTGTGAAGTTTGACATCCGTGTCCCTAAACATAATTATTTCCAGTCTACCAGGCAGGGTAGAAATGACAGCCCTTATAGAAATGCAGTAAATTGGACAGATGCAGCTTTGAATAGAAAAGGTAGTCTTGATTTAAACGCTAAGGGCATAATAGGTATTGTTCAATATCTTATTATTCTAATTGTATTTCTCTAGGACAGTTCATTTTCTAATCAATCTGAGTCCCTCTCAGTACAATCAGTATAGACTCCCTCTTTTTTAGCTTTTCAAATGCCTAATTTAGTTATGTGACTTGTTAGCACATTCCTACCTTTGCTTCGTATAAATGCCCATCATGGACATTATAACATCCAAGTTGCATGAACTGAACAGCACATACCTTCTTGTATAGTCGTTTCAGGTATGCAAACAGCTTTATTATTATAGGAATCTTTATGCTTGTGATCTAATTTGTAAACGTATTGAGGCTGAGAATAAGTGGGTGGCTTGCAAAAAAAAATCTAGTAAATCAATAATACAGATAGTCTGTGACTTACAACAGCTCATTTAGTGACTGTTCAAAGTAACAATGGCATTGAAAAATGGTCATAAGTGTGGAAAATGACCATTTTTCACACTTATGACCATTGCAGCATCCCCATGGTCACGTGATCAAAATCCAGACGCTTGGCAACTGGTTCATATTTATGACAACTGGAGTGTCCCAGAGTCACGTGATCACCTTTTGTGACCTGACAAGTAAGTCAATGGGGAAGCCAGATTCACAATCATGTTACTAACTTAACTGTAGTGATTCACTTAATAGCAGTGGTGAGAAAGATCATAACATGGGCAAAACTCACTTAACTAATGTTTCACTTAGCAACAGAAATTTGGGGTTCAATTGTGGTTGTAAGTTGAGGAGTACCTGCAGGCAAAATCAAACCAAGAATCTGCTGTATAGTTTCATCTCTTAAGAAGTCCCCTGCATTAATTGTCTTGTTATATAACTGTTAAAAAAATAACTAGGAAAGCTATTAAATCAGGCTATTAGCTATTTGTTGAGAAAATTAATATTAGCATGTAGCTTGAAGGTTTTATCAACTACCATTTATTTGAGGGGTATTTTTATTCAATATTTTTTTAAAAATAAAAAAGCTAACATTCTACAAACTAATACAAAGTAAAAAAAAGAAGAAAGGAAATAAAGGAGAAAGTTAAAAGGGCAAGGGAAAAAAGTGAAAGATAAAAAAGAAACGAGTAGCTTCGGATCTTCTTTACATCAGTTATAAACAGAAATTTACCTCTCGTTCCAGAGTTGCAACATGACTCTCTTTTTGTAATCTATTTTATATAATCATCAAAATCATAAATCTTAAGTTCATTTTTCTATTTCACGCAAAAAAAAACTATAAAGGGTTTTCAGTCAGCAATAAACACAGATAGTCTTCTTTCTCATCAAAGGAATCAATTTAGCCATCTCAGAAGTTCCATCATCTTCCCCAACATTACTCCTCCATTGTTGGTTAGTATCAACCATGGCGCTTCGTTGCAGGTTAAATGGGCTTTTCCAACATTACCTTATAACTGGTGCAGGGGCTTGAAACCTGCTGAGTTTTTCCTCCCTGCAGCCTATTATTACTCAAAAATAAAAGACATTAGAGCCTATCCCTCCTTGCTCTCTTGTCACGTGCAACCCATAATAGCTCAGTAATTTAATGGGCTGTCAGAGCCCAAATCCTATCACAGCAGGCTGTTGCTCTTCATTGTCATTGTCCTGCTGCTGTTTTGTGTGCGCTCACTATGCTGGCATATGATGACCATATAGGCTTACGGAGGGAACATTGCAATGATGCTGTAATTTGTCTATGCTGGTTAGCACCAGGGAAGTACACAGAAACTGCACTGAGATGTAAAAGAGTAAACAGATTGGAGATTGTAGTCATGGCGATAAAATATTTTTGATGCAACGTACTTTGTTTTTATCAACCATTTTTATTGTTACATTATAACTGGATTAATAATAATTTTAAACATTCAATACTTGTAGCACTTTTGCATGTGTATGAATTTAGCCTTTAGGATATTTTATGTAATATGGCTGCATTCCTTTGAGACCCCTATTCTGTTGCTTTCTAATTAGAAAAGAAAGAAAAAAAAGAAACAATTTATTGGGTTTACAGAAATCCTGTTATATGGATTGGGATTGTGTTTATACAGATAGTTCTCAATTTATAACCATTTATTTAGTGCCTGTTCAAAGTTAGTTGCATTGAAAAAAGTGACTTACAATCATTTTACTTACAGCATTCTCATGGACGCATGATCAAAATTTGGGTGCTTGGCAACTAGTTCATAATTATAATAGTTGCACTGTCCCAGGGTCATGTGATCAACTTTTGTGACCTTCTGACAAGCAAAGTCAGATTCATTAACAACCGTGCTATAGCAATGATTTGCCTAACAACTGTGTTAAGAACGTTGTAAAATGAGGCAAAACTCACCTAAGAGTCTTGCTTAGCAACAGAAATTTTGGGCTTTCGTAAGTCAAGGACTATCTAGTATTTTTTAGCATTTTTAATAGTATTTTTCCTACATTTTAAACCGTCAAGCCATATTTTTTGTAACCAAGACACAGACCACAACAGTTGTATAAGCTATTGGGAGCATTATTTATTTTTATCCCACCTTTCTTACTAGTTTGATTAAAACAAGATGTTTATATAAAGTTGTTATATAAAGCATGTAAGAAAATTAAAAAATATTTTGATAATAAAGAGATGAAGTCATCTGCGTTTTGTTTAAATGATCTCTAGAGGCAATATATAAATGTTTTAATACAAAAGCCAAATGAAACATTAAGAGGAAGATAGTTCATAGATATATTTGCTTATAGTCCTGAGCTACAGTTAACTTATTTTTCTCCAATATTAATAGAGCAACAGTCTGGGTCACATAGCTGTATCTTGATGAAGTGTACTTCCACCACCCCCACCCCCACTTGTGGACTCAATCTCAGCCTGAAAATTTGAAGATTGTTCCCCTTCCCATCAATTTTTTTAGTCCAAATAAAATGTTCCTGGTCTTTTAAGGATTATTTATGGCCAAGTAATTTTTTGAATCTACCAATCTTGCATAACTTTCTCCAGTTCAGAAAGGCTATTAAAACTGAAGTCAGGTCTTCCTCTGGAACAAAGGGTGTGAGCTTGAATAAACTAATACATGTTTAGGAGAGTGTGTGCCTGTGTAACTGAGATCTACATTCTCTGTGCCTGGAATGTCATGAATAGCTGGTATGAGGAAAACTGCCTTATAATAATCAGGCACATTGATTCTGAGATGGAAAGCTAGAGTTGGCAGTGAGATATGGCTTATATTCAGCGAAAAATGCAGACATCCTGCTATTTATTTCTCCTGCTGAACAAGAGAAATGGTGCATATGAGAGAAAAGGGAGGAAAGTCATTATTTTGCCCTGACTCCAAAACCCTATTTGTATCAGACTTCTGTCCATTAGAATGTTTTACTTAACTGTGGGTGTCTAGTGATGGAAGAAACAAAAAAGAGCATCAATAAAGGAGAATTGAAACGAGGGGCCCTAGCATTTGATGATGTTACCCAGCTTGGGTAATGAAACGTCTGTAAGGAAACAAGCAAGCTTAGAGAAGGACTAAGGATCCCTTAAAAAAGAGCTTGGGGAAATGAAATAAAGTTTTTTTTCTCATGACTCACTGCTTGGCATGCAACCATAATATGGATGCGGAAAAAGCTTGGGTTCAAGGATGTATTGTTATTTGGTTCTTATATGCGAAACTGGCTACACATGTGATCAAATATTTTTTTTTCTTATTGTGCGTAAGTTTTCCTTATTGGAGCCCAGTGAAGGACATGTGACTCTCGTTATTTTCCCTGTCTAATCCTCCGAGGAAGACCTGCTGAGAAATAAATGCCCGATCTAAAGCTTTCCAGTAAATCCATGGGGAATCAGCTTTCCCAGCCCTCTTACCCTAACCGCATGGCGAGATTGAGGCACGAGTGGGGAAGTCCTGCCGTTGGAGCCCGTTCTGTCTTTCAAAGCCTGTCTCGATGCTGCCCCGCTCCTATGCCCCTGCCCGTCAAAGCACGCAAGCCCTTGAGCGAAGTCCACTCAACTCAATGGAACTGTCTCGGTCTAGGGCAGCTAAACCGAAATCCTAAAGAACTTGTAGTTGTCAGTGCTTAGCAGCCGACAGCTCTGACCGAAAGTTTTGCTTTCGGGGGGGGAAAAAAAACCGCTGGCGGGAGAAAAGAGCAGGAAGGGCCTCGTCTTACCTCCCGTCCCCTTTTCTTTCTCTTCAACGCAGCTTCACGAAGGCCGTCGGCAGACGCTACTGCCCCTTTAAGAGGAAGCTGCTCCCGCCGATTCCTCTTCCTTTTGGCGGGTCGACCCTATTCAACACTTTCGAGCACGGGCGAAGATGACCACCTTCCCACGCGCCGCCATAGTCGTCATCGCCCGCGTGAGGTCGCTTTGAAGTGACGTAGCCGCGTTCCGCGCTTACGATTTCCCTTGGAAACGCTGCCCACTTTCCCAGATACGTGGACGCTGACGCCCCACTCCGGAACAGGTTGTTGGGAGCTCGTATTTTCCGAGAAGCGGAGCTCTTCCCCTCCTCACCCCCCCCCCCCCCCCCGCCCCAGTGGAGCGCTGTATCTTCCGAGAGCCATTTTGACTGAGGGTTACCGCGCGCGTTTGAGGGAGTTTAAAAAAAAATAGTTTGAGGTAACCATTAGAAGTCGTTCATTTTACCCGTCCATCCTCCGCTGTGTTATTTTTCTCGAACAAGCAGCCTTTTCCTTAGACTGGGAAATCGATGAGTTACTTTTTATTCAATGATTTCTCTTGGTTACTTGGGAGAGTCAACATATTCTCATTTTTAAGCCGAGAGCAAGAGCAAGAATTCTTATAAGCAGTAACATTTAAAAAAAAAGACTCCAATTTACATTTAAGAGGTTCCACATCAGGTAGCTAATTAGATTAAATTGTATTACCTCATACAATAGAGTCAAATGGTTGACTTTCAGGGAAGTCTAAAAAGGCATCAACCTGCTCTGCTGCACTAGAAGGCTACTTTATAATTCAAATAAATGAAGGAAAGCAGCAGCAAAGGATTGCTTTCATACATCACTGAGATGCAATCTTATATCTTCCCCTCTTAGTACTACTAGACATTTTGGGCTCAGTAAGCACTACAGCTTACTAAACATGGTAGAATCCTAAGGGAAAAGGACTAGAAGGGACTTGCTTAAATTTCATGACTGTTAAATGGTATTTATACTGTACCAGTTTGAACGACAGCAAAGACAAATTAAGAAATTACACTAGCATTATTTCTTAGCTTGTCTACAGAAAAGTCCCAAGATACTCTGTGAAGTTGCAAGAATTCATGGGAAAATTTCATCTCTTTCAAAATATCCCCTCTGTCCCCTTTAGCACAGCCAGCCTCACTGCCTTGTCCTGGTAGCAGGATACAAAAGTTCTGTGTTAAATAAGACACCAACCACTATGGCAAAGAGAAATGAATTTAAATAAATTCTTTTTTTTGCCTTTATTTTCAGGGGAATCCAGAAAAAAATATGAAGAAATTAGAACCCAGAGCATTGAATCAGAGAGATGGTGGAGAATGGGTGAGGCATATGAGCCCCACCCAGAACAATTTAGGCTAAAACAGCAAGGGAAGGGAGGTAGGCAGGTGGCATAGCTTCCCTTTCAAGATGCCTGGACTCTTCAATCTTCAAGTGGGTTGGGAGGGTTGCCTTGCCTCTCCCCATTCACCCCACACATCTTAGCAGTGCTTCCCCTGGATATTCGTGGAATTAACCTTTACCATCCAAAGTTTCAGAATAGACCATCACTCTGCTAGGAGCTAGAAGAAAAAATAAAATGGAAAGTGTGGTGAAAAGTGTATCTTTAAAGAGAAATGCTACATGGATGTTGTTACAAAGGCTGTTTAAAGGATGCCCTCTACATATCTGCTGCAGTCTATACAATTATCCCATAAAATAGAATCTTGGATGCAAAATTACTTGTATAAATTTATCTACCATTGGGCAGAAACTTTTTGGACTCCCAGGATCCCCGGCCAGCATGGCCATAGTCATCCCAGCATATGAAAGGGCATTCAATGGGGGAAGGCTGTTTTTGATAAAAATGATATTCCCACAAACCATGGCGCAGCACATCTTTTTCCTGATTCCTCCACCCTCCTCCAATTTACTTTCCACTTGCAAACTTTTACTTCATGTAATTGTGCCCTCCTGCAAATCTCAAGCCACCAGAGGGACTAGTAGTTGTTTCACTAAATACAATTCTTAACTTCAACCAACTTTAAGAGTATGAAAACACTGCAGAGGTCCCATATAATCCACATTCAAGCTAAAAATAGCTGCCTATGCAATTAGAGTACGCATTACTAGCTTAGCTGCACCACCATCTCATAATGTAAATTCATCTAAGAATTCTAAAATGTTTTTAGATTTAATTTGGTATTTAATTTCATTGTACAAGATGCAATGACAATAAAGTAAACTAAACTAAAAGAAAGTTCTTCCATTGCTTACCTTGACTATGTAGCTCCCATATATGGCTCCATTCTGTATCAGAAGAAAAGAAAAAACATTAGAAGCCAAGCATTACTGTATTTATTTCTAAAGAATACCTACTGTAAGTCTCTCTGATTGTCTTTATTGTCCAATAGGAAGTTTCAGGAAGACTGTTAAAATTAAATGGTAAAACTTAAAGTAATACTCAAATAATTGGAAGTAAAATGTGAAGAGTCCTTAATGAAACACAAAAGCTTCTTGTTGACTCCATTAAAATTTAATGAAGACACTTTTTCCTTAGCCTTTTAAAGAGTTACAGAGAATGACAGACCACTTTTGAAACTGTTAATTCAAAACTGATTCCAAGAGTCAATGTACCCTTACCAGAGAAATATGAAAGATGAAGTTAGGGGAATACTCTTATTTCCCTTCTGTTTTTTTATGGGCAAACAATATTATTCATGCCCCCTTTCGCTAATTGCAATAGCTGGGTTCTATGCACCTGAAATATGACTTAAAATTGAAAGTTGCTCAATATATTCTGCTACCAATAGATTAACAGCCTCAAAACATGCAGACATCTCCTTCCCTGTGCAGTCTGTACTTTTTAAGGCTATCTTACCTTTGAAGTGATAATTTCTTGCAGCCTGCCAGTCATTGGCTTCCATGTTTTCCCAACACACTTCAGCATCTGCATTTTCTGTCTCCTTGACTGGTGCTGTTCCACCACCCCCTCCATGCCCGGCTCCTGGCTCATTGATAAAGGAGAGGCCCCACTCATTTTGGAAGATGGCTCCCAGGTGCTGCCGCCGACTGCTATTGGTTGGTGGGGGACTGCTCGGGGGTGGCGCCAAGACACAGTTGGGGAGGCTATTAGTGGTGCGGACAGCTGAGGCTGGAACATGGCAGGCTTTGCCTGGTTGATCCAAGTTCTCTTTCAGCTTGCTGGCATAAGAGATCTTGGGAATGATCCTGGCACTGCTGCTATCAACTGGGAAAGCAGGAAGGGGCCGAAAGAGTGACCATGTTTCCTTCTCGGATTCCTCAGTGGTTACACTGGAGGCATTAGATGTAACAGTGGGCTTCTCACTGGCTTTGACAGTGCTGACTCGTTCCAATTCGGGAGAAGACAATGGGGAGGGTGAGTCAGAATAGCCACGGCGTCGATGCTGCCATCGCCCATTGGAAAGACCCTCTGGAGGACAGTGGTGGCCATTAGTGCTAGGTCCCCATTCCTTGCGATCTGAGGGGTTGCCTCGATAAGTTTTGCGGTAGGCAGGACGGAAAGGCCGGCCATGATGGAAATTAGGAGGATAACGGCGGGTATGCTGGGGAGGGTCTCGTTCAGACAGCTGGAGATTGCGGATGTTAAGGCTGTTGGAAGGACTCAGGGGAACACTGGGTTCATCAACTATCTCAGAACTTGCAGTATATCCATTTGACTCCCATGATCCTGAAGAAGGAAAGCAAATTTGAGATTTCTTTGTCACTAACTGCAAATACACATACATTTTCCCCCTTTAAAATATTTCACTGAAAGTCTTTTGGGAAAAAAACCCTTTCTACTTTCCCTCTGTAGCCACCTTTCCTACAGACTGCTGCATTAGCATGAGAAAGTTCAGTAATAGATGCTAAGTCATTTCAGGCTAGCATCCATATATTTGTATAGGGCATTTTGTTCCTAGACCGTGCAACACCTCTTCAGTTTAATGAAGAAACAGGATGCTGAAATTTAACTTCCTATTGCCATTATAGTTTCTTCTCAAGGTGGAATGGGAGAATGCCCAATGGCTAGCTCTCATTCATTAAAAAGCCATCCTTGAAGCTACTAAATCTCCCAAGTAATATTACAACTTTCAAGAAAATAATGGTGTTGCCATTGCAAAATAAAGAGAATTGAAAGAATTTCTGTGCTATAATTTGGGGTTCAACAAATGTTTAAATCTAAAACAGGTTTTACTCAGCACCTTTTTATTTTCCTTGTTATTTAGCTCTGCGTGATAAGTTTCTAACCTAGACAACTTTTTTGGATTAATAGAATGCAAATAGACCAATTAGCTAGCTTCACATTCTGGTCAGAAAAGCATGCTAACTCTCAGCCCAAACAAGGACTCAGGATACAATTCTGGAAGATATTTGATAAAACCATCAAACAGGTTGGTGGGGAAGGAACTGTTTTATTTCCTTCATACATAGCACAGAAGCAAGACAAAAAAATGGCAGAAACTGAATGATTAGTAATATCAGTTCATTCACTTAATGCTTTTCCTAATCAGTAATGGCAACTGATCAAGTTGTTAAGCACAAGGCTTTCATGTCAAAGCTCATGGCATAAACTCAAACCTTTCAGTCCCCTTCATGAGACAACAATGTCTTCACACCTTTCAACAGTTTTAATGCTCAAATCAAATTGTTAAGACCAGAGTGCCCAGGCACCTGAATTTGTGCAAGCCTTATAACAGATTCAAACAACTTAGAACATAAAATATTGGCCAGTGGCTAATTTACCTGTTCGTATACGGTTGTTGAGATTATGGCATTTCTCCTTCTTTCCTCCCAGGAGACACAGTTCTTCCTCTGGGTTGTGATTCTCATCCATGCCCAGTTCTTCTTTCTGCATGGCCTCAACCTGGGCTTGGAATAGGTCAAGGAGGCGAAGGGTATTGAACACCAGGGACCTGACTGAAGTCCAGCCCCAACCCCCGCCCCCTTTCTCAAGAAAATATAACCTTCCTGATGATGACTCTACACTGTTAAAACAGTTCTCAAACTAAGAAGATTGGGAACTATGCCACTTGTTGGGAACTATGAAAAGCTTCTCCAATGAAACCCCCAAATTTCTTGCCCTGTTCCAAATTTGCAATGCTTCCAGAGAGCAGAGCATTAAATGGGTTATTTAGTATCGGTACCCACCCTCGTTATTCTTCACCGTGCCTTTTGCTTCAATACCCTAAACTTTCTCCCCCCTAGTAAATGACCTTATACAAACTCTTGTACAATGCTTACAAAACACACATACGGAGCGGATTCCCTAGTCTCAACCTCAGCAGCCTCAAAAAACTCAATTCTCCCTTCCTGCGTTACTCAG